ATAACTTAGTGAATTATAATGAATTGGAGTGAACTGATAATTGTACTTAATGAACCGAAAGCGTAAAACTGTTTTTTTTTTTTTCTAGACTGTCTGACGGACCAGCGGAGAATGAGAGTGAGAGTTAGAAAAAATTAGGGATGTTGGTTAGCGGGGGTGGACTGTTGGAGTGGGATTAGGAATTGTTACTATTGGTTCAGCTTGACAAATTTTTAAGAAGAAGAGCATGGAGTGGTTAAAGAAATTAATTCATTGGTGCTGGGAATTTTGGCGGGGGTACTCTGCACAAGGGTAAAAGAATTGCTGGATCAGGATTGGATGAGGATGACTTCTTTGTAAATGAATAAGGAGTTTTAGTGGGGTTTTCCAGGAAGGGTCATTGAGTCATAAAATTAGGAGAGCCCGCATATGCATCGCATAAACAACGTCAATAACAGTCAAACTAACTATGCTTTCTATAAACATTTCCGTTAGGCTCTACTCATTGTCAGTAGACCTAAAACCTATATATTAAATAACCATATCTTTGGGTCGCTATGTGATGAAAACCAGACCCACTGTTTAGTCTTCCCATAGTCCGACATAGACCACGTACGTAGGATCTGATTTTCCACGCGGACGTAACAGCAATGTTATATAATACATATAAATTCTTATCGATCAGATATCAGTTATATAGAGGGTTAACTGTAAAAAAAGAAAACAAAGACCGTCTAGCATCAAAGAATTTATCATGATTTTAAACATATATACATTTACTATAATTTCTATCCAATGAAACTAGATGATATTTGTATATCTGCATGAAATATAAAACTCTTTGATATTTTTAATGAAGTTTTATAACTTTAATCAGTAATCCCAATATATTGATTTAAATATGTTATAGATATTTATCTAAAACATTGATAACGTAAAAAAATGTGTTCCAAAACACATTTGGAGAAAATATTCGGATATGTACGTGCGTACGTGGCCTCTCAAAATTCAAATGTATATAACTCGAGAACGGTTTTAGTCCTACAGTCGGCTACAGTCCCAAAATTTGTCAGGCGAAAATCTTTGATTTCCTCTTAGATGAATCTTCATTTGCTACCAACGATTCGGAGAAAGTAAATTGCAAGTTTCTATTAGCGATTTTAGGATTTTAGCAATATTTCCTACGACTTTATTCAGTCGCGAAATATAGCTTATTGTAACGTCTAATTATTATTTATCATTTGTCCAAGGACATTCAAATTTAAATACAAATTTACAGAGTAGTAAATTCTGTTACTACACGGTTTCACAAATGTATCGCAGTGCAAGGGAGTAATTTTGAACATTTAGCGTAACAGAAATAAAGCCAAATCTCTAACACGTCGAATTAGTATTAATTCCATATTTCTGGGTTGGAGGTCATTTGAAGCCCATACTATGTTACATGGTTGGATTCGTTTGGATGCCGGCTACGATGTGCAAGGAGAAAAAATGTGCCATTCCATTTAAAAACAACTCTGATAACCTTGAGAAAAGTGGTAAAAAATGAAATTAAAAAAAAAACATTATGATAGCCATGGGCGCCCTTCCGAATCATTTAAATTCCGATATTTGCGAACTCCGTATCTTTAAATCCAATAAAGTTATTTAGGTGTTCTGTTTCTCGCGCCTCACCCTGTATTTACCAAGTTGAAATCCAGTATACCGAAGAAAGAGTTAATAGTTTGATTTCTTTGATTTCAACATCTGCGTTTATACATATGTACATCCACTAAACCGTGAGGAACAGAAGTCTAGCACCTGTTTCAGGTGAGATTCCGTTACAGAACTGTGAAATTAAATAACGAAGCATTTTGTTGGTTTTTCGATTGCCTTGATATAAGGTCGCAAACCAGCAGAATATTTCTTTAGTCTGCCACCAAGATGATCCGTGGGAATATAATTGAACAAATTGTCGTGGCAGTGATTTTATCGAATGCTGTCAATTGTGTATGTGGGTCACGTATCTTGGCGATATTTCCAACGGCTTCGTACAGTCATCAAATTGTATTAAATGAATTCGCCAAGCAGCTTCATCGACGTGGACATGAAATCGTGGTGGTCACGCCGAATCCAAATATGAACGAGGTGTCTGAAAATTACACGGAAATCGATATTAGTTTCACCCAAGAGGACATTGCGGATTTAGACTTCATAGAGGCGAGACGGGATCAAGGGATGCTGTCCGTGTTTAAATTATTCTGGGACATATTGGACGACAGTGTAGCTAAAATTTACGAATTGCCTGAACTTCGTAAACTGTACGCACCGGAAAGTGGAGAAAAATTTGATCTAGTTATTGTGGAAGCGTTTATACATCAGGGGCTGTTTAGTTTGGCGCACAGATTTGACGCACCGTTAATTGGTAAATTTTATGATAAAGGAAAAATTATTAGAACTTTAATGACTAATATGGGTCATTTATAAATCAAACAGGTATCACTTCACTGGGACTTAGCATACCCTTTCATTATGTTATGGGAAATCCTATGATGACGTCACATCCATCCATTTGGGAACTAGAGTACAGGACTGGTACGAATGTGCCGTTGTGGAGGAAAATTTGGAATTTTGTGGATGTTTGGAGGTATTATTATGAATTTCAAAGCAGGCATTTGGTGCGTCAGAATGCTCTTTCGAAAAAATATTTGGGAAAGGACACACCGGATATTTGGGACATTCAAAATAATATAAGTTTTGTATTATATAATCAGGATCCAGTTATCTCATACGGCAGACCCAATGTTCCAGGTGTCATTCCGTTTCGTGGTTTCCACATTTCAAAGAAATTACAACCCTTGTCAAAGGTACATGGTTTTTAGGTGTATTTCAAGAGATCCTTTTTACAATAGTTTGCAAATGTTCCTCATTGCCAAGTATTCATTTAGGATCTCCAAGATTTCTTGGATGGTGCTAAAAGTGGATTCATCTATATGAGTCTTGGAACCAACGCAAAAAGTAAATTTTTACCAAACGAAACGAAGGAAATGTTTCTCCAAATTTTTTCAAAATTACCCCAAAGAGTATTGTGGAAATTCGAGTCTGATTTACATGGGAAATCAGATAACATCTTCATTTCAAAGTGGTTACCACAACAGACTGTTCTAAGTAAGCAGATATATTTGATTGAAATTTAATAATTGCTTTCAAAAATTAATAGAATATCTCATGATTCCTATATCTTTATTAATTGCAGGTCATCCGAACGTCAAATTATTCATCTATCAAGGAGGTCTTCAAAGTACCGAAGAGGCTATCCACTATAAGGTTCCACTGTTAGGAATTCCAGTCTTAGCTGACCAAGATAGTCAAGTAAATAGAATGGTCGACCATGGTGTGGCAAAACGCTTAGAAATTTTGACCTTAGAGAAAGTCCAAGTTGAAGAGGCGATACATGAAGTAATTACAGACAAAAGGTCACTACTTCATTTTAATGTGGCATTTTTCTAGTCAATGATTTTCTAGTCTTCAATGATTTCATATTAACGTTAATACTGACATATTTTTTACTTTCAGATACAAAGAGAACATGGTGAAACTCAATGCACTTGTTAATGACGAACCTTATGATTCTTTACAAAATGCAATATGGTGGACAGAATTTGTTATTCGTCATAAAGGTGCACCACATCTTCGCTCTACTACAGCCAATGAAGTTTGGTATGAAAGATTTGACATGGACGTCATAGTTACCTTAACTCTTACGTTATTCATTCTATTTATCACTCTATCGCTAGTATTAATTAAATTAACAATTCTGACCTTTCGATTGTACAGTAAATTATTTACTAGTTCGAAACAGAAGACATTATAAATTATCATATAGAGATTAAAACCTGGATGGAAATTTGATGTATAAAAATATGACAAATATATAAGCGTAATGAATTTTTAATTACGTATTGACACACCATACTTCAATCACACAATAATTCTTATATATGTCCAATGAATGAATCTCTGAGTAGTTCATATTCAGAACAGCATCCAGGAGATCTAAAATTGATCACTGAGAAGTATACATAGAGATATAGTTGGCAAGACTATCCTATACTTATAGGTATACTTTGAAAATGCATTAACAAAGTCTATCAGAGGTACAGCTACATCTATGCTGTGGCATATCGAGAGGTGGGCCAATGACGTAAGATACATCCTCAGTATCGTATTTTTATAGCCAGATAATTGACAGATACGATAAATAAGAAAACTATATGCCAAGGGAGACTTTAGAGTGATGCAGGGAGCATCAACGGCGGTTTGGAGTGAAGACCATTGCCAAGGACTGATCTTCCTGTATCGTCGCTTCGGGACACTGTTGAGGCTTCCTGTGCAGGTTGTTGTTGAAAACTTGACCGCAGGAGGGCAGTGCTTGTTGATCGGTACTCGACTGGGAGGGGGTACTGACTGGTATGCGGAAGAAAATTTGGATTAGTGCTTCAGTCTTCGAACGGCCGATCTGGGATAACGCGAGTTTCGAGTTCGCGTTCTTTTCTTTCTTTGTTCCTCCTCTCCTTACGTTTATCTCTTGTGACTCATTCGGTGCTTCTTCATCTTCTTCTCATCTCTCGTCTGAGGTATATTCTTTACTGCTCATGTACTTCTCTCTCTCTCTCTTTCTTTCTCTGTGTTACCTACTTTCCCACTTTCTTCCGCTGGGCTATACCTTCTTCGCGATATCACTTTGGTATCGCAGTAAACTCCGCAGCAAATATGCCAAGACGGTTTGAGCGGTGGGGAGTCATGGGTTGGCGTCTGTACGAGTTGTTATTGACAAACCTGTCGTAGGGGGGCATCACTTTTGCCAAGGAGTACTCGAGCGGGGGGGAGGGGGTACTCAGTGGTATACAAAGAATGTATTATTGTTTCAGAGGTCAGTCTTTCGAGAGCCGGTCTCTTGGAAAGCGCGTTTTGCCGGTCTTCCTTCCCCCTTCCCCTCTCTCCTCAAATACATCGCAGTTGTGATACATTCATCGATTCTTTGTCTCTTTTGTTCATCTACATTCTAAGGTAGTACTTGATTATCTAATTCTATCTCTCTCTTTCTCTCTCTCTCTCTCTCTTTCTTTGTGTTACACATTTTCCCAATTTCTTCCGCTGGGCTATACGTTCTTCGTGATATCACTTTGGTATCGCAGTAAACTCCGCAGCAAATATGCCAAGACGGTTTGAGCGGTGGGGAGTCATGGGTTGGCGTCGGCATCCCTTTCTGCGCTCTCTAGGGGAGCGGTCACGTCAATCTGCGTTCGCTTGTGCTACTCCACTTGGCGTATGGGACCTCAAATCCCGGTAACTTCTAATCACCCTCTGCAGGAAACACTTTGCGCGCTGATCTAGGGTTAACGTGGTTCGTCTTCGGAGATCGAACGTGGTTCCTTACGTCTAACCTGCCCTAGCTTCGGCTTTGCGGCGGGCAGTGACGAAGGTTGAAGCGTAAATTCAAGTCCCCTCGGGGACTTCCGGCCTCGGTCGGTGCTGATGCCCAGTGATTCGTTGCGGTCGACTCGGCTAGGGGTGATCGCGAATTTTCATAGCCTGGCTCCTTTTCCCGTGTTCTGGTTCTGCGACACAAGCGACTGCTTAGTCCAGGCCATTCACATATGCTCATGTTGTTCAAAGTCTTGTACTCATGTTTGTCAATGCTTTGTGTCCGCGACCAAAGTCTGTCGAAGGTCGGAAGCCGCTTCGCGGCCCTTTAAGCTCTTGCGTCACAGCAGTCCGCTGTTACTTCGGTATCTGTTAGCCGGGCCTCCGCTGTCCGTGGGGGTTGGGCCCGATAGCGTGTATTCCGCACCCTAGCCTGCTTAATCCGGTCCATCGCGCTTGTCCCCGGTCAAGTGTCATGTCTGTAACAACCATTCCCTATCAATATCATCAAAATCATCTCTTTTAATCTCTTCGGGCCTTCAGCCCATTTCGTGCCATCTCCTCCTATACCCTGTGCCCCTTAGCGCCACCTTCGAAATCGCGCAACACAGTGAGTCTATTTAAATAAGTGCATCGCAGTCGTTCTATATCGCGCGCGAGAACCCGCGTGTTGTTTAAGTGACAATAAGTGAAAAATCAGTCCGTATTCGAAAATAAACAAAGTGCAAGAATAATTACCGCGGCCAGAATCCTCAAGTTGTCGGCCGAATGCATCACGATCATCGAAGGATGAACTCGCCCTATGGATGAACTATACACGTGCAACACGTGCAACAAAATCTGCAGGACAGGAATCTTGAGGTGAGTGATTTTTCTACTCTTACGTAACACCCTATATATTAATCCATATTTTTCCTATACTCAGCGCAGTAGTACAGATTTAGCCTATGTATACACCTGTGATAGATTTTGCTAAAGCATTTCCAAAGTATGCATTTAGTTCGGTACAGTCCAATTAGCCATACTTCTATCTGACTGGATCAACTGCGTATGAACTGTATAGTAAATAATTTTTACTTGGACGACTTGGTGCCATTACGATAGCACTTATTTCATAGATACAGTTATACTGCTCTTTCAACCGAGAGTACATTGTGCAAGTATACGAACAAAGGAGACACTTTTATTTCTGATATCAGTTTTCCTGATTTCCGATATACCTGCCACTGAAAATCCACCGAGCGATACAGAAGGGTGCAGTAACGGTCGTTTGTCGGAAGCACGTGGCTAGATGCAATCGAGACGCGTATTGTCGACGACGTACAATGTAACGGCAGCCATTATCCCAACCCAAGGATTTAATTGTAGGAATTACTGTAAAACTGTAAAGATATCTGGCTCCCGTATCCGTAAGAATTTTCTTTTGTTTTTTTTTTCGAGGAAAATACATCTGAACTTTGAAATAGTTAAAATTAATCATCTCGCACGCTTTTGCGAGTCGTTCAGCTACAAGGTGATATTTGAATCACGTGTAAAATTCATTTTTCGTTCGAAGTCGATTTTTCAATAGCAAAATTAAATTTCAATAAAATTTCACGAATATGGCACACCACGGTGTACACAGAATAATATTCATTTTAATGAACTTTTTCAAGAGCCCACTCCCGTTCAAGAACCAATCCTTATCGTCAATCTCAAAAATTCGAAGAGCGCACGGGTTAATGGAAAAAGTTTTTTTTTCAAATATTTTCATTTTTCCTATACCCGCAGCGAGTGCGAGAGAGACGTACCCATCGGCAGTTGCGTGCGTATGATAAGGACAGACATACCTCTAGACCAAATCTCTGGGTCATACCCTTCCTCGAATCGCATTCGACTAAGGTAAATAACTTTCAATCCAATAACTGTTTTCGCGTACGAGAAACGATTACATTAATACACCCGTGTATACGGGGTTGCGTCTTCAGGCGCCGGTTAATAATTTAATAACCAAATTCAATTATTCCATATCCTCTTGCACTGTCTCGCCCATGACTTTTTCTTATAGCATCGTCATCGTACTCGCAGATAATATCGAACGATGATCGATGCACTCAGTATCCGACTTATCAGATGCATATCAAAAATACCCAAATTGCCTATAAAATCGACTACAACTTTTTCGACGCTTCCACGTGCACTGTCATAGTCGGTCCTAAGCATACGCAGTTGCATAATCATACGGAACCATCTATAACTAGAATACATCGTACATTTGTAACAAGCCCCAAAGTCATTGAGGTTAATTTACGGCAGTTCCTACGCGACTCCATTAATTTCAGTGCTACTCTACGTAAAAGCACGTGGCCTTGATGACGCTACCGGAATGTATATATATATATATATATATATAATTATATATATATATAATTGCATGAAATTTCGCCCTAAGAAAAGCTAGAGCCATTGCTAACCTCTTTGCTTTGTAGAATGCATTGCCTATAGTGGGGGAAGAAAAAAAAGTGTATAAACGAGAGATAGCCTGGCAGGGTGTGTTAGGTGAATCTGCTACCCGGAGAGGGTAGGGAGGGTCGGGAGGTAAAATAAGAAAAGGAGGGTCTTCTTTGTTTAATACCAGAATCATACGGAACCATCTATAACTAGAATACATCGTACATTTGTAACAAGCCCCAAAGTCATTGAGGTTAATTTACGGCAGTTCCTACGCGACTCCATTAATTTCAGTGCTACTCTACGTAAAAGCACGTGGCCTTGATGACGCTACCGGAATGTATATATATATATATATATATATAATTGCATGAAAATATAATTGCATGAAATTTCGCCCTAAGAAAAGCTAGAGCCATTGCTAACCTCTTTGCTTTGTAGAATCCATTGCCTATAGTGGGGGAAGAAAAAAAAGTGTATAAACGAGAGATAGCCTGGCAGGGTGTGTTAGGTGAATCTGCTACCCGGAGAGGGGCAGGGAGGGTCGGGAGGTAAAATAAGAAAAGGAGGGCCTTCTTTGTTTAATACCTTATCTCTCTCGGTGGCAATTCGATCTGGGCAAAGTCGAGCCAGCCGGGAGTAAAAGGAGGCCCTCCATAAAACCGGATAAAAGATAAAGGCTTATTTCTTCCTGATTTATTGCATCAACTTCATTATTTTTTTTCTCGCCGCTGCTACGGCCTCTCCTGCCGCGGCACTCTCTCTCTCTCTCTCTCGCTCGCTCATCCCGCTGTACCCCACAGCGACTATCTCTCTTGGGTCTAGTGAACAATTTACCTCCGAATTTAGCGAAGCTGCGAAAAGGGATAGGATTTACTTTTATCACTCTCTGCGGGTTTCGCAATATCCACCTATTACCTGCTTTTTCCCCTTCTCGCCCTATACTCGACTTTGCCACTTTGTCCTTCTCCTCTTCTTCTTCCTCCCCTTCCGCTCCTCTCAGACCCTCCGCCCTGTTATGCTCTCTTAAGCCGTAATTTTCGGATTGTGTCATTTGCATCCTGCTTTTTATTTCACCCTCAGGTTCTTCGGGTAGCTTCGACAGATCATCCCCGTTGGATGAGCATGGGACGGTTTTTGACTGTGCGAAGAAATTTTTGATTTTTTTTTCTTTTTTTTTATTACTTGCAAATATTTAGCTAATACGATTACCACAGGGGTTGATTCTAGTATCGATAGATTTTTTTTAGTCTTTTTTAAAGATTCACGGTACAGGGCTCGTATCTTCGAAGCTGTACCGGAGCATGCTCTATAATGGGGTGAATGTCCTATATCCGGTTATAACGACAGAAATTCTTTGAGAATCTTTTAGCATATCCTTTCGTAGGTCCAGAGAATATTTTATTGTCTGGTTAGGTTATCGTGTTTTTATGTCACCGACAAGACGATTGGGACAATAGAATAGGTTGAGTTTGATATGGAATATTTATTTTTGATTTTTTTTTTTTATTACTTGCAAATATTCAGCTAATACAATTACCACAGGGGTTGATTCTAGTATCGATAGATTTTTTTTAGTCTTTTTTAAAGATTCACGGTACAGGGCTTGTATCATCGAAGCTGTACCGGAGCATGCTCTATAATGGGGTGAATCTCCTATATCCGGTTATAACGACATAAATTCTTTGAGAATCTTTTAGCATATCCTTTCGTAGGTCCAGAGAATATTTTATTGTCTGGTTAGGTTATCGTGTTTTTATGTCACCGACAAGACGATTGGGACAATAGAATAGGTTGAGTTTGATATGGAATATTTATTTTTGATTTTTTTTTTTTATTACTTGCAAATATTCAGCTAATACAATTACCACAGGGGTTGATTCTAGTATCGATAGATTTTTTTTAGTCTTTTTTAAAGATTCACGGTACAGGGCTTGTATCATCGAAGCTGTACCGGAGCATGCTCTATAATGGGGTGAATCTCTCATATCCGGTTATAATGACATAAATTCTTTGAGAATCTTTCAGCATATCCTTTCGTAGGTCCAGAGAATATTTTATTGTCTGGTTACGTCATCGTGCTTTCATGTCACCGACAAGACGATTGTGACAATAGAATAGGTTGCGTTTGATATGGAATATTTATTTATTTTTTTTCTCTTTATTCCCTCTTTCCTCTTTACGTTCACCATCCTTATGCCTGCTTTGAAGAATTTTCGGAGATGAAGAAAATGTCCCTTTTTTTTCCTGAATCCTTAAGGCGGAAGCCCAGCGGCGCTCCGAGGCTCGATCGGTCACTCCATATATCTATATGCCGTTGGGTATGGCGAGGGCGTTACAACTTCTTTTGAAATTTTAAACTGGAACCTAAAGTGACCTTTCTTCTTTGACGCTGCCGGAAGTCCGCTGGATATCCAGGTTCAATGGGGGACTTTGTGAGGTTCGGAGTTTGAAAAATAAAAAGAGAAATCTAAGACTTCCACTTGAGCCTCAGGTTCCGATGGTGGAACTCTCTTCGTATCCAGACTCTACCTATCCCTGGGTCTCCGGCTTCGTTCCTTATCCCGCGTTACCTTCTGACTTTTCTTTTTCTCACCGACGTTAAACATCGACCGGCGCCTTTTCCGCTTTTCTCCAACTTCAAGGAACCGACCTCGTTGAAGTTTCGAACGATCCTGAAGCGAATGTTTTTTTTTTTTTTTTATATGTATACAGAGTCAATCGCTCGGGGGATCTTTGAAAAGACAGGGAAAGCAATCCCGTGCTGTTGTAGTCAAACTCGAAGCAATTATCGCGTAGGAAGAATCCGCGATGTTGATACTTTGGCCGTTCTCCTTAATTCGCCAATTAATTCGGATATTTATAACTTTGATTTCAGATTTTGACTTTATTCGAGGGAAACGACGTTCGAAATCCGATGAGCCACGTAGCTGCAGATTGTTGTCAGCTGTTGAATTTTTCCATCCACTTCGACCAAGGGTGAGTCAGCTGTTAATTATTATTTTATTAATTTCCAACGAATCCACATCGTTCGATCAAACTGAATAACGAATCGCCCTGTATAACCTATATGTAGCACGTGGTTACCGGCGCATCAAGTTTATTAATAATTTTCAAGCGATTCAACCTATTAACGAAATTCCTAACTTACGAATCGATTGGTTGTTCTTGTATTGAAAAAAAAAACAAAAAAAAAAAATAGGAATAGGATCTACGTGAAAATATTTTTCAAAAATTAACTTTACCAATTTATACGTCTATTGACGTAATTGCAATTCCCCCCCTCTCGGCCCCACGAACGCTACACGAAATACACAGTGTAACGTCAACACGAATGAAAGCTTACGTCACTCAATTAGATTGTTCTAGAACAAATAAAACATCGGCCAGTACCAAAGACGCCTCCCATAACTTAATTGAAGTACGCGTCAAAGAATATTTCCCAAGAGAAATAAGAATTTCGTGATTGCCCGTTCGACTCGACAGATCGAATTTGATATTTCCGATGCACCAAGAAATTAGCAATTTTTTTTGTCGATAAAATTTTTTTCTCTTTGATCTCTCTCGCACTTTCTTCGTAATCAATCGTATACACCGTTCTAATGCCTATAACCGTTATCTATATATGTAACGGGACGAAATTTCCCGGGAACAAAATGAATATCCAAGCCCGTATATCCGGTTGGTCACATGCTGCTTCTCCCGGAGTGTTTAAGCTCGGCTCACAGGAGCCGCTTCAAGAATACAAAGCATTAGTGAGATTTCTCTTGGGAGGCCGAGCAAGAGAGGAGGGATGCTTACTAACCATTTCTGTTCTGCCTTCCCTACGACCTTCCACTCCACCTAAACCTCATACCGAACTTCCTTCGCTCCTTATCCCCCTTGTCTTCCCATTTCGTAACCCTGTTGTCCCTTAAGCCTTTAGTCAAGCATCGGATCCACGGGTACAAGCAAACGTGGACGATTCCATAGACAGGGATAAAAGAAAAAAGAGTCTTCGAATGAATTCGCCCGTGTACGTCAGGGTATGATAAAAGTCCGACGAGTGACGTCACTGGCGGCCGGCTTAAGTAAAAGAAGAAAGCAGGACCGAAGATAACAGTAAATCGAGTCGAAAATATTTTTACGCGACTGGCTCAAGGCGGGAACGTGGTTCCTCCTTAAAGTAACTTTTCTAACGGAAGAGCAGGTCCGCTCGGCGCTTCGGAGTTTCCGGTTTGCAGTTTAGTAACTTAACCCCCCCACCGCGCGACGCTGGCTTGTTTTGCCAAAGTCGCAGAATCTGCAGAATTAAATAAGAGAAGCGCAGCGGCGAGTTTCGCGGATGAAGATTAAGACGGCCTCCCCCGGCGCCAACGGAAAGACGTGACCCATAGTGCCTTGGACGGCTGGTGGGGCGACGAGGGGAAAGGGAGGAGAGGGGAGGCACGGAACGAATGGGAAGGATAATTAACGCGTTGAAAGCTCCGATTAAAATCCGGACGGAAAATTTTCGTGCGACGCTGGCAAAATAAGGGAGAAAGAATTTGGAGTCGACGTAGCGCAGGGGAGGTTGACTGGCTGAGGGATCGGCCAAAGAGTTACGGGGTGGTAAAAGGCTAATCCCGTAAGCAGTGAAACTAATTCGCCATTTGAGAAGGCTTATCGTCGTTATCGCTTGGATGGTTCTTTTTTTTTTTTTTTTGACCTTTTTCCAAAATTTACTCAGCGCGAGAATCTCACGGCTGCTTATAGGCAAAAGGCCACGTTGCCTGCTGGCGACGTCTCGTGGTCTCGCTTACTTGGCTCATGGTCCCACGGGTCAAGTTCGGCGCTCGAAAGCTGATTTCGAGGGAAACTTCCTTGAACGAGTTTAGCGTTGTCGTTCCTTGCTCGGGGATAAAAGTCAATTCGCAGGGAGAACGATGAAGATTGAGCCTCGTACGTGTGGCGGAGCTTTTACTCTTGACAAGTTTTAAAAGTCTCTGCGGCATGGCTTTGTGTGTATCGGTCGGGGCAGGATTCCTCGCTGGACGCTACTGGAGTCGTAGGAAAATTCTTGAGCGACGGGATTTCATAAATTGAGGAACGCCTCTCGAATGGAATTCCAGCCCTGGACCTTTATCCCGGAGAGATTTAACTCGAGGAAGTTTACGGGCACGGAGCACGTCTTCGTCGAGGATGTCCTTCTCCGAGGTGGAGCCGTCTGGTCTTCTGGTTCCAATCGAGTCCTGGAAATATCACGTATATCAGCCTCGCGAAGGGATCCGATTGGAATAAATAAGCTTTCGTGTCCTCGTTCTTTACTATTAGACACGCTTGACGTAATGATATACATTTTCTTTTTATATCTTACAAGATGCAACATTCGTACAGGAAATCGATTTACTTTTGTACCTTGTGGTTACGGCTATCGGATGGAAAGAGACGGTATTTTCGTTTTTTTTTTTTTTTATTATTTTGATTTTTATGCGTTTCACCAATTCAACCCGTTGCGCTTAGATATTGACGTAATGTCGGTATCGAGTGGAAGTGCATGTGACAAATTCGTATTACGTGTCGACATACGAGATATATTTTTTGTTTCTCTTGTCCTCTCTGTAACGAGTTTTCGAAGTGGGATTTTTTTCTTTCTTTCTCGTAATACAGTGATCCCTTTTTCTATTATACATAACTGACATAAGATAGACACTCATTGGTAAATCGGTATTGTTGTTTTTTTGGGACTTTTTTTTTGTCAATTTCCATATAAAAATGAACCGTGCTATATATTTTTCACGATAACCCCTCGTAATTTATCACACTTGTTAGTGGAATCAAGTGTCTCTTTGACGTCATCTGTTATAGGTGAATCAAGGGTTATCGGATAATCTGGTTATACAAATGTAACTCAATGAGGGTGTACGAGGACGACTATTGTAATTGAAACTATTTGCGATATCAAAAATTAAGGTTATCCTAATGTCGACTTATAGTATTTAAAAGTCTCTAGTTATTGTCATTTAGATTATATACAGTCAATATTTCGTTACTCTAGTCTTATGTAAAATTAATCTTGGTCGCGAGACGCATGCAATAATTTGATGACTGAATGAAGTCGAATCCAACGTAGGGACGTTTGCTTTCACACCGGTATCGCCGTGCAGCATGATGATTGTGGTCCAGCTGGGACTGGTTCCAATTTTCGAGTTTTCAATACGTTTTTCCACCAGTTAGCAGACATCTTCAAGGTTCTCTTTCTTTCGGGATCGTTGAAGTCCACGTGAACCAGGCCAAAGCGTTCGCTGAAAATGAATAGAAAATTATGAAGATTTGTTTAAAATCCACAAAATGCCTGGATCAATATTTGACGATCTATCGAAGGTTACCTATATCCTTGGGTCCATTCGAAATTATCCAAGAGCGACCAAGCGAGGTAACCTTTGACATTGACCCCGTCGCGATTCATAGCCAGTAACATTTCTTTCAGGTAATCGTGGAAGTACTGAATTCTATTGAGGTCGTTCGTCTCTTCCGCGGCCGAGACTCCGTTTTCCGTAACGTACATCACTGGGTTGTTGTATTCCTTTGCGAGAAGACGTAGAAGATCCCCAAAGCCTTTGGGAACGACCTGTGTGATAAGGGACGTGATCAATTTTATTATTAAAAAACAAAAATTGTTATGGAAAATATATTTACGTAAAGCCAGCTGGAATTCGCTCTGGGCCAGCTGGGATCAGGGGAGAGAATTATCTTCCGATCGGCGAACACGGACGGCACCACGGATTCTACTCCTGGCTCCACCAAAGTGGACGTGTAGTGATTGACGCCCAGAAAATCCGAAGAGCCCCTGCAGATGACAATGACAATCGGCAAGAATTAATCGGACGACGATATTATTGACAATTTGAGGCTTTCGTCTATTTACGCGATACGGGGAGATTTTTACGCACCTGATATACTCGATCCATTCCTGCGAAAATTCCGGAAGACGCGAACGCGGGTATCCTTGTTCCAAGCTGGCGCTGGCAATTTTCTCTTTCATCAGGCTCGGATAGTCGCCGCTCGCTGAAAATATCGGATGACAGAACCAGCCGGCATTGAACTGAAAGTGCGTCTCGACGGACGTCGCGTCGTCTGGATCTTTCGGATAGGCGTAACTCAACGACAGGACAATGCCGATGGTGCCGTTTTGCGTCGGGCGAAATTCCTTATCGTAAATGTGATAAGCGCGTGCGTGAGCTTTCAGGACATTGTGAGAGCAGAGATATTCGCCGATTCCATGAATCTCCTTTCCCGGCGCCTTCGTGCCCAACCCGTAGCCCCGAGCGCAGAATTCTTCGGGCTCGTTGATGGTACAGAAGTATTTTACTCTCGGTCCAAGTTCACGGAATACGACGCGGGCGTAATCGCCGAAGTAATCGACTATCTCCTCGTTGGTCCATCCGCCGAGATCCTCTATTATCTGAGGATGATCCCAGTGATAAAGGGTCACGAGAGGTTCGATCCCGTTGGCTTCTAACTCGGCCAACACTTTTTTGTAATAATCCAATCCATCCTGGCTGATCTTATTGGCGAAGCCGTTGGGCAAAATTCGCGACCAGCTGAGCGACAGCCGATAGACGTCGAACTGTGTTTTGAAGGGTTGAAACGTTTTATTGGAAGTTTTGTTTGAAAAATTTTTTTTAGCTATTTTGAACAAAAATATTTACCCCGATCTCTCTCAGGAGCTCCACGTCTTTCTTGTACTTGTGATAAGAGTCGCAAGCCACGTCACCGGTGTCGTTGTTCACTATTCGACCTGGACGGGGCTCGTGTGTAAAGCGGTCCCAAACATTCTCACTCTTGTCTGGAAGCAAATCCGAAAGTTATTTATCTCGTAAGATTGAATAGCACATTTTTCGTAATTATTTTTCATTAGTTGTCCATAAATTTTTTTACCGCTCACGTTCCAAGCTCCTTCGATCTGATAAGCGGCTGTTGCTGTGCCGATGAGAAATCCTGCTGGAAATTTCAAATAATTCTCCTCGATCGTAGAAATGCTGCTCCCGCGACTGTTGAATTTTCAGATTTTCAATTTTGACATTGATCGTCGAGTACGAGATAAATTTTTGACTTTTAACCCCAGACCATCACGCATCTTCTTTGTGACGTTATTTTTTTTTTAAATTCTTACTCTCTTCCCGTTACATTTTTTTTTTCACTGAAGCACGTATCTTTTTAATAAATTAACTTTTTTTTTCACTCTAATCTTTTTATATTTGTCAACTCGTGTCAAAGTTTTATTTCACCGTAATTGAGCTTTGCTTTTTTATTTTTACCCGTGCAGAATTACATTGCCATTTATAAAGCCGTGTGTGACGTATGCATATGCGAGTTGCGGATTTTTAATGTAAAAAATGTGCGATGCTCTAGGGGTTTTCTTTTTTTTTTGTTTTTTTTTTTCTTAAATATTTCATAGACTCACACGACGAGAGCACTGACGACGAACAACAATCCTCCGAGCAAAGACATGATGAATCAGACGATACTGAGCTGATATCGGCGGTATATATCAACATCTCGTAGAAGGGTTATCAGTCTTACGCGCAAGAAGTGGGGCAAATGAATACTTTTGTTTTATTAATAAAGTTGGAAGCAAATTCATCGCCAGTCTATAAAGTTCGATTTTTTGCACTCGTATTGCAAAGTAGTATTATCATTTTTATGTAACATAAAGATACGAGCGATTACGAGATAATGGTAAGTATTTATAAAAATATCTGAAATATTGACGTCTTTTTACATTATACACGGGAACGAAGTGATAATCATAGTTGGACTGTTATCATCGTCTAAATAATGTTTGGGTAAAGTGTCTTAAACGGAATTCGGAGTAACATGGGAAAATGTATGTCATCTCAGATACATTTTCCTTGATGTAACTGGAGATTTACGTGACTGGCTTCTTATCGATATTACAAAGTTTGATTGACGTGGAAGATTTTTCTTTTGTTATCTTTGTTTTTTGATATTTTTTAATTATTTTTATCTAATATCAGTAGTATAAGTTGGAGAGCACTGGATGCAGATTCCTGCACCGACATAATACCGATACTCCAGAGCCTTCGAAGGTGGGTGTCCGTGCTAAGTTACCGTCGTGAGCTCTACGATTTCTGGAAGTGACGTCATCAGGACCCCTCGATTCCAAGAATTTCCGCTCGATTCCGGGACTTTTGCGCTCGATTCTAGGAATTACGCACGATCGAAAACCTTCTAGAACATTCTGGAAGCTTCGACGGTTCGTGTCCGTGCTAAGTCGGGAAGGATCACTCCCAGAGCCGGCGGTCCTCTCGCGCGACGTTTTGAGACAGCCCCTTGCCCCCCACCCCGGAAAGCCTTCCAAAAGCTTCGACGGACCCGTGCACATTCGTGCAGGCTTCGGACGTCAGCCCTCAGCCCGTTTGACCTCGAACGTTATCTCGCAGAGTCGTGCGTCGAGAATGCGGTCCCTCATACCCCCGAGGTGGCAAATTACTCGTAAGCGCGCGACGCAACTTCGTCGTCGTCGTCGTCGTCGTCGTGGGAGGGCTAAGGAATATTCCGGAAGATGCATTAACCTTGACATCGAATCCAGGAATCTCTGTAGGCGATTCAATTCCTTGAAATCTGCGAAACCTCCCATCCCCATTTTAACCCTTGAGAGTTTCCTAAGAACTGTCACAAAAAATCTGAGGTATAGGGTTCCAATGACAAGAATAATTATCCATACAGGTTCATTCGAAATTTTATTGATTACAGCAGTGTGTATTTGAGCGAATAAAGATGACTTGTTATCTGGTTGCTCGATTTCCTCTTTCAGATCCATCTGTTTGACCTTGATTCGAGGTTGTATTGCCAGAAGAGTCTCCCGCGGCGTTATCACGATTTGGTCGTGCAGAATTGTTATTCATTCCGAATAATGTGTTGTTATCGAAAGTGATACGATCGCGTCTTTCAGGTAGACCCGCGCTCCGTACCCATTCGTGGTACGAGGAAGGAAGGCTTTCCGGGGTGGGGGGCAAGGGGCTGTCTCAAAACATCGCGCGAGAGGACCGCCGGCTCTGGGAGTGATCCTTCCCGACTTAGCACGGACACGAACCGTCGAAGCTTCCAGAATGTTCTAGAAGGTTCTCGATCGTGCGTAATTCCTAGAATCGAGCGCAAAATTCCCGGAATCGAGCGAAAATTCTTGGAATCGAAGGGTCCTGATGACGTCACTTCCAGAAATCGTAGAGCTCACGACGGTAACTTAGCACGGACACCCACCTTGGAAGGCTCTGGAGTATTGGTATTATGTCGGTGCAGGAATCTATATCCAGAACTCTCTAACTTATACTACTAATATCGGAACATGAGCGATTACGAGGTTTACGATTACGGGGAAAAGTGTCTGAAACGGGATTCGAAATAACATGGGAAAATGTATGTCATCTTAGATACATTTCCCTTGATGTAACTGGAGATTTACGTGACTGGCTTCTTAGCGATATTACAAAGTTTGATTGACGTTGAAGAGTTTTTTTTTGTTATCTTTGTTTTTTGATATTTTTTGATCATTTTTATCTAATATCGGAACATGAGCGATTACGAGGTTTACGATTACGGGGAAAAGTGTCTGAAACGGGATTCGAAATAACATGGGAAAATGTATGTCATCTCAGATACAATTTCCCTTGATGTAACTGGAGGATTTACGTGACTGGTTTCTTATCAATAATGCAAAATCATATGCAATTTTTGCATAAAAAATAAACAATTTCGATACGAAATATATCGCCGTATACTAAATCAACGTGAATATTCGCGACATTGTAAATCGTGTCTCGTCGTTTTGTGCTAAAATGCGAAGAAAAGGAATAAAAAGAAAAAAGCAGCGAAATTACGTAAAGTCAAAAGTTTTAGCAACGAACCAGCAAATTGGCAAAGTGGCGCAATTCCAGGTTGCACAAGGACGGAGTGACGACGACGAGAAGAGTTGGGGGGGGGGGAATGGGAGGGATGCTGGGAGTCTGGTATTAAAAGTCGCACAATTTATTGCGCGTACGCGTAAACTCGAAATTGCGGTAGAAATTTTTGCGCGCGCAAAAAAAAAATTGGCACGGCCCGAAAAATTGAAGGACGAGCTTGGAAGATTGAGAGATAAGAGATCTCTTAAGAGATAAGATAAGAGATAAGAGAGAAGAGAGAGATCGAGAGAAGAGATCGAGATAAAGATAGACTTTTTCGACAAACAACATCCGTCGTAGGTGTAAAAGAAGTAGTGACGTCACGAGTGAATCTCCGAATGGGAAAAGGAAGTGGATATACGTAACGGAGGAGAGGGTTGAAGTAGACGGTTTTCCAAGTTTACCCCTTTATTGAAGTAAAAAGATTGCATTGCGTCACTACGATGACTAATGCACTTGCTCTCACCACCCCTTTACTGCAGTACCAACCAACCCCCTTAAAATATTCCTTGAACCGCGTAAACTATTTTTCATCCCTTAACGAATGAAAAAATCGTGACACGTAATTTGAGTGTGACGTAAAAATTTTACGTCCAAAAAATTTTTCTTTCATTCCAATTTCGGATAATTCGTAATTTCTTTGACGATTATCGTATGGTCCATTGCAGCCTCACTCGAATATTGAAACTGGACGTCGATTAAATCCAATCGAATGATCAATCGAGTGAGAATCTTTAATTGTCCTTGAAAAGTTTGATTCGATGGAATTTCCAATTGAACAAATTTACGTGTAACTTTTAACCCAATTTTTTTTTTTTTCGATACACCACACTCTTAATATATCTTTCGGTACGAGGATCGCGAAACAGGCGAAATGCACGAGTCTATTTCGGACGGTCGTATAAGCTGCCTAATGAATCCTGGTGAAATTTGTCTTGACGCAAGGGCGTCGGATAGGGGTAATTCGCGAGGGACCGAAATGTTGAGAATTTTGATTGTCGAACGACGAGGGATGCTTTTTTGTCTGGCGTTAACGAAGACCCTAATTGAATGAAACGACTGGAGAAATCTTTGGCGGCCGCGAGCGAAACGATTCGTTTTTAAGATTATTTGCCGCGTAACGGCGAGGAACGATTTTGGATTCGAATCGGTGCCACGTCGTAATCTTAAGAGAGTTCGCGAATCGTCTGAGAGCGAAGGCACGAGAGAGATGGGGATAGGATGACGATGGGTTTCGGAAAGGAGGAATTCCAGAGGAAAGAAAAAGTATTAGGCCGATAACAATAGGAAATGATTAATGGTCCAGAGACGTATAAGTTTATCGTCCGGATATCCCGTAATATTAACCCGCGAGAAAATATCAATGATCAGAGATGGAGGTGTGCAATGGCTCACTGGGTATTTTTCCCCAATGCTTTGCAGATCACGTGAAACCCCGATGGACCAGGGGGTATCTCCTCCCGTCACAATGATCTTTACACGTGATCAAGAAGCCACTTAACTTTCTTTTTTTTTTTTTTTCTTTTCTCTTTCGATCCTTTTTTCATCCCTCGTTCAGTCTGCAATTTCATGTTATTTCTTTTATTATTTTTTTTTTCTTGTCATACGTATCATACCTCGCGGTATATGGCGTGGGACAGGAGACACGTGACTACCGTTTCGATAAATAATACGTCCACTCGTAAAGAAAAGATTACGTTATTTGGTGCTTTACGGAATTGGTACAGCGTGTGACGGGAGGCTGCGAGAGCTGAGGGCGTCGTAGGTGGTTTCGATGCCGAGAGAGTTTGAGCGACGTCGACGTCCCTGGGAGCGTCTCTGTTTGCTCGCGAAAATATCTATAAGACCCAAGGAGAAAGCGAGATGAGAATTGCTTTTTCACGAAACGGGTATACATATAGGTATACTTGTCTCGAGCTAATTTACGAACGACGGGGCAAACGCACGGCGACGCACGAGAATTTACGATTTCATATTAAAAAATAAAGAGCGAAACGTTATCGGGATTTTTGGGATCTTTTTTTTTTTTTTGGTGAATTTTATTCTTTTATTTTTCTTTCTTCATGACCATTTCTTGCCATTCGATTTCCTTTCTCTTTCTGCCGCTCGCGTTTAGTGAATACAGATCGTCCCCCGCTCCCTCGCCGAGGAGTCTGTGGAAAAATGGTCCATGACGAAGTAAGAGTCGACGCCAAGGCGAAAGTGGAAATTCGTATCTTCGTCTTATGGATTAACAGATATTTCATTGATTGCAGTGATAAATTTTTAACGAGTCTCGTTGTTGTTTGGCACCCTGAGTGAAGGGTGAAAGTTAGGGGTGGCAAATTCGACGAAGGCAAAGAGAGAGAGAGAGAGAGAGAGAGAGAGAGAGGAGGATCGTGTAGGAAAAGGGAATGAAAGGCACTTTTCAAATTTCAATTTAATATCCGCACAGTCACGAACGCATGATTAATGCCCGGCCGAAATTTTGGCCTTTTCATCCCATTTACAAAAATGGCCCTCGGCGAAATTTCATCTGGACCAATTGATCTGACGTCGCCGAGACTCGAAGACACACTCTCGCGATACGTATAATCCTATGGACGATATCCGGCCTCATCAAGATTCAAATCGACCAGATATACTTTCTGGAATAAAGTCGTTTACCTTTATCACCCTTTTTCCATGGATCGAAACCTTTTTTTTTTTTTGGTACCACTATATCGCACAAAAAGTCACTTTTCTTACCCTTTCGCGTGAATTTTACTCTTTGTTTTTTTTTTATTATTTTTTTTCTATATACACTCTCCTGGTTCCACCCTCTCGCTCTTCTGGTCAGACCACGTGGCCGTTGTGACGTTTCCGTTACATCATACTAAGTTGTCCGTTTTGGGGCAAGGCCAATCGCAACCCTCCAGGTTCATGAGTTCGTATTAATCATACCCCAGGAGCGGTACCTTGCATATGGGACCCCGTGCTTAACGTCGGCTTAGGTTTATAAATGACTGCTTTTCGCGACCGTATTAAGCACGGAAATATCCCTGGAATTTCTGATCAACAAAAAAAAAAAGGAGAAGAAAAGCCCCGAACGTATTTTACGGTGATACTCGGGTTTACGGGCGCTATGCCATAGCGATAAGGGTTTTTGAC